ATAAAAAAATAGGAAAGAACTAGTAATTAAAAATAATAACATTATTCGTTTTGATTACTAGTTCAGGAATAATAAACATACATATACAAAAATAAACATACATAAATACGTGGTGATTAGATAAAGGAACAAACGTACCTACTTAAATACTTAGATATAAATATACCTACATAAAAATATGACTTCTGGCATAAATGCTTGTGCTCATTGCACTAACATTTGACCCCGACGGGAATCCATGACACAGTTCCATGGACAGATTAATATTATAATTAATCACTAATGATTATAAAAATAACAATAACGTAGCCTCAGACTTGCAGGAGTCAGCAGGACTTACGTTATGGAGTTTGAAGATAAATATACGTACTTAGATAAACATATACGAATAAAATACATAAATATAATACAGGTTTGTAGCCCAGGCATAAATGATTGTGCAAATCACAATAACATTTGCTCCTAGGGGGATTCAAATCCACAACCGCATCTGGTATTGTAGTTCAGTGCATGAACTAACAATCCAGTCGGTCTTCAATGATAATAAAAATTGTAGAAATGGTCACACCAAGAACGTAGCCTCAGACTAAGCAGGGCTTACGTTTTGGAGTTCAAATAATGGATAAATATATGTACTTAGATAAACATATACGAATAAAATACATAAACATAATACAGTTTTGTAGCCCAGGCATAAATGATTGTGCATATCACAATAACATTTGCTCCTAGGGGGATTCAAATCCAAATTAGGTACGTACATCTGATATTGAAGTTCAGTGCCTGAACTATATTACTCCAGACTGTTTTGAATGATAATATAAATATTACAGAAATGGTCACACCAATAACGTAGCCAACAAAGCAGGTCTTACGTTTTGGAGTTAAAATAAAATAGTGGATAAATATACGTACTTAGATACACACATACAATCATCATTTCAGCCTCCCCACACATACAATAAAATAGATAAATATAATACAGGTTTGGAGCCCCGAATATATGTTTGTGCATATCACAATAACATTTGCTCCTAGGGGGATTCAAATCCACAACCGCATCTGGTATTGTAGTTCAATGCGTGAACTAACAATCCAGTCGGTTTTCAATAATAATAAAAATTATAGAAATGGTTACACCAATAACGTAGCCTCAGACTAAGCAGGGCTTACGTTTTGGAGTTAAAATAATGGATAATAAATATACATACTTAGATAAACATATACGAATAAAATACACAAATATAATACAGGTTTGGAGCCCCGAATACATGTTTGTGCATTTATCACAGTAACATTTTCTCTCAGGGGGATTCAAATCCAAATTACATCTGACATTGTAGTTCAGTGCGTGAACTACCAATCCCTACGCGTCTATGTTATTCAGAAAAAAAACTTGGATACTAATTTGTTTTTTTCAAATCCATCCAGTAGTTTTGGAGCCTATTCCATACAAACATAAAAATCTTTCCGCTTTATAATATTAGTAGGTATAGATTGATGAATAAAATTACTTGAGAATTAGGTATTTGACACCTCCAATCGAGTAATTGACTTTTTACGAGCTGCAAAAAGTATATTCCAATAAAAGTTTGCATAGCTTTATAGGAATTAAACATTTTAAATGTCAACTACTCAATTATTATGGAAGCTGATAGCTATCATAGAAAATAATTTATATTTTACTATGTTTCAATTTTTACTTTCCATGGTAAACAAACACTATCTCATGTGCGTCTATCTCACTAGACCCTCACTTTACTTTTATTGGCATCTTTAGGTTTAATTATGCAAAGCTAGTGGCTTTGTGTGAAAGCCTTGAAGTCGACACAAAGTTTCGCGTGTGCAGAACGTCATCTGACGACGACGACCGATCTAAATATAAAACCAAGTAGGTATGAGAACTTTCAAACTTTTCATGAGAGATAAAAAACTTCTTTTAATCTAAGCGTTATTATGCTTATTATTATTACGAGGTATTTTTCATACCTTATATTGGTCAAAATTAATATTTTATTACAAGATACTAACATTAGGAAAACTTTGAAAGTTTCTGCAGTAAATCTTATTATACAGGATGGAATTTTGTAATGCCACCTGAAGGAAAAGTACTCTTACTTAACACTGAAGATAGAAAATTTTACTAAAAAAACATTCCTTTATTTTGAAACGAAAGAATTCATTTCTGCATTCTGCATTTTTGTAAATTATGTATGTGTGATAACACTGGTCAACAAAAAATCAAAATTAAAATGGTGCCGAGATTCTGTTGATAGTTTATTATTAGGTGTGTATTAGTAATAATAAAAATATTTTTCTTTTTTTTTTCCTACGTGTAGTTTTGGATCTACCATCAGTTTTAAAATTTAGCTTTAATCGGTACTTTGGTTGCACAGTTTGTAGTGTTCTCGGTACATTTTTATAAATGCATTTATTTTAATATCATGTCTACATTGCCAAGAAGTTGTCTCAATAATCAAAATGTATTTCTGTTACATTGGTGGTGTGTACACAGTTAAAAAGTTCAAAAATTCAGGCAAATTTTATTAAAAGTGCTTATTTTTCTTACTTTAAGTCGGAAATTGTGGTTGCATTCAAGCCGTGGATACCCAAAATTGTTTTTATAATCTTCTGTGAACATTTAAGGCAATGTTACAATGGTCAAAGAAGCCGTAACATGAAGTTCAGAGTGGAGAAAGTGAGGAAAGAACAAAAAAAAATCCTAGTTTGAGCATAATTTATTTTTTAAATTAATTTATTAAGTAATTTTTAACGGTCCATAAATAACAATATTAATCAAAGATACTGATTTCTTAAGTTCGATGGACTATTTGGAACTATTTGCATAGATTTTGTTAATTTAAATTACAATTTTTTTTTCGGAAATCACTAGTCCAGTAACTACTCTGAAATTGTGAGACATGCCTTAAAAACTCAGAATGTCATAATTTTTATCAAAGAGCACTACCTCCACAGTCATCTTGACCAATTCCCAGAGAATCTTGGGTCACTATAGCATGCTATAGCTAAGAATAGGGAGAGCGATGCTATCAAGACCTAAAAACCATTGGAAGAGAGGTACCAAGGCAGATGGGATCGGTATATGATGGCTGATTACTGCTGGAGGATGTAACGTGATAGTTCCATTACACCTCATTCACAAAAGTCGTGGAAAATAAAGTTTTTAAGCATTTCAAAATATTATAAACGCTGATTTTGGTGAAATTTTGTATTTATCTATACACGTCAAAATCTAGAAAACCACACGTAGGAAATCTACAAATTTGCTACTAAAGCAACCAGCATAAGGTCCTCAATCAAAAAATATATACAGTTCCTTGGCACCAAAACCACTGTTGACCAGTGTAATGAATAATCATGTTTTCTTTCTTTCTTTCATTCAAAGATTCCTTTCAGGTAGCATTGCAAAATTCCACCCTGTATACTATACGAGGTGTCACATCTAGACAGATGACATGTTTACTTAGACACACACAAATAACAAGTACTTTAACAATCCGGAATGCTCTGTATACAACTTCTTAGCGTAGGAGCACCATTATCAATTTAAAAGGCATATTTAGCCACCGGTTAGATTGAGCTATGCCAGATGCCTATTCGGCTTTTTAAATTTGAAAAGAGGGTTCATTGTAACCTCAGTTGTTTCAATTTACACTATAGAAAGGCGTGTTATTATGGAATACCCATATGTCTTATCACGCGAGACTCAATGCACTGTTACTCCATCCCAACTAATATTATAAATGCGAAAGTAACTCTGTCTGTCTGTCTGTCTGTCTGTCTGTCTGTCTGTCTGTTACGCTTTCCCGCTTAAACCTCGCAACCGATTTTGATGAAATTTGGCATAGAGATAGTTTGAGTCCCGGGAAAGAACATAGGATAGTTTTTATCCCGGTTTTTGAAACAGGGACGCGCGCGATAAAGTTTTTCTGTGACAGACAAAATTCCACGCGGGCGAAGCCGCGGGCGGAAAGCTAGTGGGTTATAAATTATATTAGGTTTTTTTAGGTCATGAGAATCAGAGCGGCCTAAATCTTTTAAGCATGTATGTTTATAAAATATACATATTTCAGTTTGTTTCAAATATTCTATATCAAAGCTCTACAGTTTAAACTTAAGTTGAAACTTTTTTTTAATAACTAACTATTCCAATCAGAAATTTGAAAGAAGTTTACTTTAGTGATCTTCAATATTTAGTTAGGCAGATTTGGTTCTTATGGTCTTAGACCAGGTTTCTACAAAAGCGGAGCGGAGCGTAGAACCGACTAATTTTTCTATAGAATTTGAGAGCGGCGGCGACGCGCGGAGATGTTTAATTAATGAAATTAATTCAAAATATTTCTCCGCTCTGCTCCGCCTTGGCGGAGACCGGGCCTTGAAGGGAGTAAAATCAAGCTTAACGAAGCCAAACATCATGACATGTGTGTGTTGAATATTCATGTGAAGTATTTCTGATAGAGTGCGCTAAAGGCTTCTCTGAGTAAAGCTTAAGTCACGAGTAGCAACGAAACCACGACTTTGACGCACTAGTGATAATTTAATATGTGAAATTGAAAATTAATGGATTGTTAATTTCACTTGCTAAGGGTGGATTTTTCAATAACTTTTAACTGAAGAATAAAATTGGCACATAGACAATTTATATGGTAGGTATATGTCATAATGACAATTTCATTTTTCAAATAAAGTTAAATGACGATTCAAAAATAGTGTTAATCAGGAAGTAACTACTTAAAACTTTACTCGGAGATCTTGTAGAGGCTCTAATTAGTATTTACCTAAAATTCATCTATTTGGTACGTATAAATTAAGACCCATTCACAGGGTTTACATCATAACAATTTTAAATAAGATATTTTTTGATTGAGTTTAAATAACTAATTAAAAACCTCTTAGTAAATAAAATTGTGAATGTACAATAAATTAGTATGTAAAAAAAACAATGCCTAGTTTTTTGTTTACAGTGTTTTTGTTTGGATTTGTGTTTTTGTGTGTAAGTGCTGTACGCAGGGATGTTGACATCAATTATTAATTAATAGAAGTATCATGGAAAGAATACATTTATGTTTTAAATCCAATTTTCAATAGCTATGAAATTATCAATAATTCGATGAGTTTAATTCAAAAATAGTAATGTCACAAATTTATAATTTCCTTATAAAAATGCAGAGATAAATAATGAAAATAGTTTAATATTTTTAAGATTGAAATTAATATAGTAAGTAATGTCAATATCCTTAATCTTTATTTATTTGTCTACTACTTAAAAATACCGGCAGTAATTGTATTATTATTCTTTAAACGACTTCTTTTCCTATCATCAAGCGTAATTTCAGGCTCCGTTAAGGGTATTTCACACCCTGTATACCAAATACTACGTCCATAAAGCTGTAGGCATCATGCCTTCCACCGAAGCTTGTCGCGGAGTCAGCACTTCGTTGCACAGGAACATAAGCGGTAAGTCGACTAAATACCCGCGTATAAGGTCGATTTTTCTGTTAGCTAGCGCGCGGTCAGAATGCCAAAGCCCGCGGCCGTTCTCTTCTTGGTATTTCTTTAGTTCGGCGAACGTGTGGACTGAGTCGGTGGGGAGGCAGTGGAATACCTGAGGATAAGTAAAAGCAATGTTAGGCAATTTGTAATCATTAGTTCGTTTCAGCTAAATGACGTCCACTGTTGGACAAAGGTGGGCCGATGATCCGGTGAAGGTCGCGGGAAGAACCTTGAAGAGGACTGAGCGGTCGTTATGGAAATCCTTGGGGAAGGGCTAGGTAATTAAATCTAGTGCTGGATTAAGTCTCAAACTCCCTCTACCCCCATTCGCTGTGCGACAGGGTGGCACTGCTTAGTTTACTTGCTCATTCATTGTATGTTTTATGTCACCTCTGTCTTATTTGCTTTTTTTTTTCATTTTACCTCTTTTGTCTTTTGTGATGTCCATGGCAATAAATGTTTCTTTCTTTCTTTCTTTCCATCTACAATATTTTACAGCTAGGAAACACACAACATCGTTTTCGCAACGAAAAATAGTAGATAATATTTATAGTTTTCTAGGTTTCTGCAGGTTACAAGTCTGCGACTATGACTAACCTATCGTCATCATCATCTTGTACACATTCTTCATTTTATTTAGCATTTCTACATCTACATAAACATCCGTATTCCTTTTCCACGTAGCCTTCTACACGTCCTTATAGAAGTCCGAGATCCTCCCAGAAGATAAATTATGAGTGCCAAGTAGGTAAGTATGCCTCACCTCTTCATAAACATCAGTATTCTTGTTCGACGCAGCGTGCTACATGTTCTTTTAGAAGTAATCCGAGCAGGATCATCCGTTTATGCAGAGGTAGTCTAGGTCCTTCCCCAGCAGCCTAAGATGAAAGATATTCAGCCTGCCCCAGCATCCAAGTAGAATGAAGATGTGACCCATACCTAGCTGGCACTTTTACGTAAGAGTGCTAGCAAGGTTTGGGTTACCTCTTCATAAGCATCTGTGTTCTTCTTGGACGAGGCTTGTACACATCCTTGTTACTCTTCAGAGCAGGGATCATCCATATTTGAGGTAGTCCAGGTCCTCTCTTAGGAGTCCGAGATCCTCCCAGAAGATAAATAAAATTACGAGTGCAAATTAGGTAAGTATGCCTTACCTCTTCATAAACATCTGTATTCATCTTCGACGTAGCCTGCGAAACGTCCTTAAAGAAGTGATCCGAGACGGGGTCATTCGTCTATGCCGAGGTAGTCCAGGTCCTCCCCCAGGAGTCCGAGATCCTCCCAGAAGAGGAATTATAAGTGCCAACTTGTAAGTAGTATCCTACCTCTTCATAAACATTTGTATTTCTCTTCCACTTAGTCGGCTACACGTCAGTAATCGAATCAGGGGTCATCCGAGGTAATTTAGGTCCTTCCCCAGCCTAAGATGGAAGGTATTCAGCCCCAGCATTTGAGTAGAATGAATAGGTGACCCATACCTAGCTGGCACTTTTACGTAAGAGTGGTAGCAAGGTTTGGGTTACCTCTTCATAAACATATGTGTTCTTCTTGGACGAGGCTTGTACACATTCTTGTAACTCATCAGAGCAGGGGTCGTCCATGTCTATCCCGAGATAGTCCAGGTCCTCCCCCAGTAGTCCTAGGTGTTCACTAAAGCTATATTAGTACCAGCTACGTAAATATGCTTTACCTCTTCATAAACATCGGTATTCCTCCTCGACGTGGCCTGCCAGACGTTGTTATAGAACTCATTGGAATAGGGGTCATCCATGTCTATCCCGAGGTAGTCCAGGTCCTCCCCCAGTAGTCTTAGATGTTCACTGAAGCTATATTATAAGTACCAGCTACGTAAATACGCCTTACCTCTTCATATACATCGGTATTCCTCCTCGACGTGGCCTGCCAGACGTTGTTATAGAACTCATTGGAATAGGGGTCGTCCATGTCTATCCCGAGGTAGTCCAGGTCCTCCCCCAGTAGTCCTAGGTGTTCATCATCAACAGCCCTTTACAGTCCACTGCTGGACTATGAGCCTCCTCCACTATAGTGGAGGGTTTTGCCATAATCTCCACGCTTGGCAGGCGGGTTGGAGATCGCAGTTTAAAAGATTGATGTTTTTCAGAGAGCGCTGCTGCCCATTCTCTGTTTGATGTGTAGGTGTTAGCAAGGGTCGTCCATATTTATGCTGAGGTAGTCCAGGTCGTCCCCCAGTAGTCCTAGGTGTTCACTGAAGCTATATTATAAGTACCAGCTACGTAAATATGCCTTACCTCTTCATAAACATCGGTATTCCTCCTCGACGTGGCCTGCCAAACGTTCTTATAAGAAGAAGCAAGGATCGTCCATATTTATCCCGAGGTAGTCCAGGTCCTCCCCCAGTAGTCTTAGATGTTCACTGAAGCTATATTATAAGTACCAGCACCAGCTACGTAAATATGCCTTACCTCTTCATATACATCAGTGTTTCTCTTCGACGTGGCCTGCTGCATGTTTTTATAAAACTCATCGGAGCAAGGATCGTCCATATTTATACTGAGGTAGTCCAGGTCCTCCCCCAGTAGATATAGATGTTCACTGAAGCTATATTATAAGTACCAGTACCAGCTACGTAAATATGCCTTACCTCTTCATAAACATCGGTATTCCTCCTCGACGTGGCCTGCCAAACGTTCTTATAGAACTCGTCAGAGCAGGGGTCGTCCATGTCTATCCCGAAGTAGTCCAGGTCCTCCCCCAGTAGTCCCAGGTGTTCCCGGAAAAGCCGCTTGCGCAGTGCGCCCGCGACACGCCCGCTGGGTAAGGTTTTGCCGTTCATGGTCCCGTCGATGAATTTTTCGTCCTGGAATTTGGATTTATTTATTGAAGTAAATAACACAGACGAACAGTATTTGTAATGATCAATTAAATTATTTTATGATAGATAGATTTGACTCTTTTCAAGCTAAAACTCGTACAGTCGTGGTCATTAAGATTCGAGTATAGGTCGCGCAACAAGAGTTGAGGCCATCGACAAAAGCACAGATTTATGTCTGTTTACGCTTTCTGCGCTGACGTCTTGCGTACTGACAAGTGCTTTCTGTCTCGCTTGCACACATTTAGCAACTGCGAGGTAGCATATGATATTTGAACTTGAAGTGTAATGTGGTGTGTTCTGTATTCAAATATTACATTAGTGTATTGCATTGTTGTCCTCAACTTTCGCTGCGCGACCTATAAAATATGTCTAAGGCTGGGTTGCACTATCTTACTTTAACTTTGACAAACGTCAAAAATCTGTTAAACTCCATACAAAAAACATCGGTTATCGTTAAAGTGACGGTCAAAGTTAGGTGGTGCAACTCAGCCTTAATCTATACATTATAAAGCTGAAGAGTTTGTTTGTTTACTTGAACGCGCTAATCTCAGGAACTACTGGTCCGATTTGAAAAATTATTTCGGTGTTAGAAAACCCATTTATCGTGGAAGGCTATAGGGTATACGAGACACGCTACGAGTAATAGACACAGAGCAACAATGAAAAATGTTGCAAAAACGGGTTTTCACGCGTACGGCAATTTTGGTGACTGAATGAATTCCTGGCAATAAGTGGTGACTGAGTTTGTTCCGGCGTTTCTTCTCAGCACTTGCCATATGTTTGTCTCGAAGCGCTGGTAGGGCCCAAAAGATAAGGAGACATGTAAAGTGCCCCATAAGGGCTACCTTTTTCTTTTTTTATTATTTTCTATTGACGTTCATAAGTGCCACTTGTGGTCTAAACTGAATAAATATTTTTGATTTTGATTTTGATTTTTACGATGTCGCGGGCACAGCTAGTACATTTTATACATTACATACCTCAAGCAACACAGCGATTTCCGAGTCCCTCGTCCCCAGCATAGACCTATCGTTGATATTTGCGCTGCCGCAGATGATGATCTTGTCATCGGCTATCATCAGCTTGGAGTGGACGTACACCAGTTCCGTGATAGGCTCTCCATCCAGGATGGAATGCGTTCGGAGGCCGTGGAACGTTATGTACTGGGACGGGTCCTCGATGCCGGCTTCGTAGAGACGCGTGAGGATGGCTTCTTTGCTCCTGTTTAAATAAAAATACACTATTAAAAAAATATATATGTTTTGACAACAAAAACTGGGATTGAACAGGAACGAAATTCACCAGATCGTCAAGCCAGCTAGTGAGAGATCTCCCTACACTACGTCTTCCGTAGTCCCCATTCGAGAACTTTTTTGTCCCAACGGTCATCAGTTCTACAAGCTATGTGCCCCGCACACTTAAGCAAATACTGGCAGTAGTGCCATCACCACGAACACCCGGAAAGTTTCCTGCTTGTTGTGCGCTGATATGATGCTATTGAAGAGCACTACGTGTGTGTGAAGCCTTAAAGTATAGTCTGTCTTCACCTGGATACGCTCTGGTAGTTCCAGTGCGCAAGGTGACCTTCTCTCTTCAAGTGTCATAGTTTCACCGGCGCTTGGGCAGCTTTGACGGCTTAGGATTACTGCGATACCATTGCTGAGCGGCTATCGAACAAGTGACGCAATAGCGTGAGGGGGCTGCGTTACTTTTACGAAACAAAAACTTGCGTTTACGTCGAGGCGACACTGAGGCAACGTTGCATTGACGCTGCGCGGGCGTTCTGGCAAGATAAAGACGCTCAAAAGACGCTAGTGTGAGGGTGTCCCTCAACCTCTGAAGATCTGGTGAAAGCCGCAAGAAACACCTGGATTCGGGCAGCGTAGGGTCGTTGTGGAATCCTTGTGGGACCTTCGTCTAGGGATGGAACTAGGCTAAAACGATGTCATATTTAGCGTGACGTATTCACCTGGATATGCTCTGGTAGTATTGGGACTACGTCAATGCGTCACCGCGTGCAACGAGGTGCAGTTGTGAAGATTAAAAGCCTTTGTCCAGGGACGACACTAGGTTGAAACGATGTCATATTTAGAGTGACGTATTTAACTGGATTTGCTCTAGTGAAAGCTTCAGGAAACACCTGGATTCGGGCAGCGTAGGGTCATTGAATGTGGTGAAGCAATAAAGTATTGAGTATTATGGAATTCCATAAGGGATCTTCTTCCAGGGATGGAGCTAGGTTGAAACGATGTAATATTTAGAGTAACGTATTTACCTGGATATGCTCTGGTAGTTCCAGTGCGTCACAGCATGTAATGAGGTTCCCGAGGGCGCGCCCACCTCGCCTTCGAAACCAGGCAGTAGCGGCATCACCACGAACATCCGGAAGGTTTCTTGCTTGTTGTGCGCTGACATGCGGTTGAACAGTGCTTCGCCTATGTGTGACGCCTTAAAATATAGTATCTTCACCTGCAGAAGCTCTGGTATTTCCAGTGCAGCACGGCGTGCAGTCAGGTGACTCCCTCTTTGAACGTCTTAGTTTTCATTTCAGTAGCGCTTGCGCAGCGTCGACGGCTTAGGGTCACCACGAAGTCATTGCTGAGCTGCTGCCGAACAAGTTTATTCAGCAGCCGCTCAGAAAAAACGTCGAAAAAAGCTAGTGAATGGGATCCAGTAGATTGATCCAGAAATGGAAAAAATTGGATCGGTAGACGCTGAGCCAGTGTCGCGTAGACGCTGAGCCAGTGTCGCGTAGACGCTGAGCCAGTGTCGCGTAGACGCTGACCCAGTGTAGCGTAGACGCTGAGCCAGTGTCGCGTAGACGCTGAGCCAGTGTGCGTAGACGCCGAGCCAGTGTCGCGTAGACGCTGACCCAGAGTCGCGTCGAAAGACGCTAGTGTAGCGTCCCTCAATTAACAACCATGGTGTAAATGTCTTTACCTGGATATACTCTGGTAGTTCCAGTGAGTGACGGCATGTAATGAGGTTCCGGAGGGCGCGCCCACCTCGCCTTCGAAACCAGGCAGTAGCGGCATCACCACGAACACCCGGAAGGTTTCCTGTTTGTTGTGCGCTGACATTATGCGCTTGAAGAGCGCTTCGCCTATGTGTCACGCCCTAAGGTATAGTATTTTCACCTGCAGAAGCTCTGGTATTTCCAGTGCAGCACGGCGTGCAGTCAGGTGACTCCCTCTTTGTATGTCTTAGTTTTCATTTCAGTAGCGCTTGCGCAGCGTCGACGGCTTAGGGTCACCACGAAGCCATTGCTGAGCTGCTGCCGAACAAGTATATTCAGCAGCCGCTCAGAAAAGACGTCGAAAAAAGCTAGTGAATGGGATCCAGTAGAATGATCCAGAAATGGAAAAAATTGGATCGGTAGACGCTGAGCCAGTGTCGCGTAGACGCTGACCCAGTGTCGCGTAGACGCCGACCCAGTGTCGCGTCGAAAGACGCTAGTGTAGCGTCCCTCAACCTCTCTTTGAAGGTCAATTAACAACCACAGTGTAACATGTATTTACCTGGATATACTCTGGTAGTTCCAGTGAGTGACGGCATGTAATGAGGTTCCGGAGGGCGCGCCCACCTCGCCTTCGAAACCAGGCAGTAGCGGCATCACCACGAACACCCGGAAGGTTTCTTGCTTGTTGTGCGCTGACATTATGCGCTTGAAGAGCGCTTCGCCTATGTGTCACGCCCTAAGGTATAGTATCTTCACCTGCAGAAGCTCTGGTATTTCCAGTGCGGCACGGCGTGCAGTCAGGTGACTACCTCTTTGTGTGTCGTAGTTTTCATTTCAGTAGCGCTTGCGCAGCGTTGACGGCTTAGGGTCACCACGAAGCCATTGCTGAGCTGCTGCCGAACAAGTTTATTCAGCAGCCGCTCAGAAAAGACGTCGAAAAACGCTAGTGAATGGGATCCAGTAGAATGATCCAGAAATGGAAAAAATTGGATCGGTAACGGAACAACGGGGTTAGAGGGTTGCGTTACTTTTCCGAAAACGTTGCGTTGTCATCGTGGCCACGATGAGCCAGTAGACGCCGAGCCAGTGTCGCGTAGACGCTGAGCCAGTGTCGCGTAGACGCTGACCCAGTGTAGCGTAGACGCCGAGCCAGTGTCGCGTAGACGCTGACCCAGAGTCGCGTCGAAAGACGCTAGTGTAGCGTCCCTCAATTAACAACCATGGTGTAAATGTCTTTACCTGGATATGCTCTGGTAGTTCCAGTGAGTGACAGCATGTAGCGAGGTTCCGGAGGGCGCGCCCACCTCGCCTTCGAAACCAGGCAGTAGCGGCATCACCACGAACACCCGGAAGGTTTCTTGCTTGTTGTGCGCTGACATTATGCGGTTGAACAGTGCTTCGCCTATGTGTGACGCCTTAAAATATAGTATCTTCACCTGCAGAAGCTCTGGTATTTCCAGTGCAGCACGGCGTGCAGTCAGGTGACTCCCTCTTTGTATGTCTTAGTTTTCATTTCAGTAGCGCTTGCGCAGCGTCGACGGCTTAGGGTCACCACGAAGCCATTGCTGAGCTGCTGTCGAACAAGTATATTCAGCAGCCGCTCAGAAAAGACGTCCAAAAAAGCTAGTGCATGGGATCCAGTAGATTGATCCAGAAATGGAAAAAAATGGATCGGTAACGGAACAACGGGGTTAGAGGGTTGCGTTACTTTTCCGAAAACGTTGCGTTGTCATCGTGGCCACGATGAGCCAGTGTCGCGTAGACGCTGAGCCAGTGTCGCGTAGACGCCGACCCAGTGTCGCGTCGAAAGACGCTAGTGTAGCGTCCCTCAACCTCTCTTTGAAGGTCAATTAACAACCACAGTGTAATATGTATTTACCTGGATATACTCTGGTAGTTCCAGTGAGTGACGGCATGTAATGAGGTCCCGGAGGGCGCGCCCACCTCGCCTTCGAAACCAGGCAGTAGCGGCATCACCACGAACACCCGGAAGGTTTCTTGCTTGTTGTGCGCTGACATGATGCGGTTAAAGAGCGCTTCGCCTATCTGTGACGTGGTATGGTATCTTCCCCTATGGTATAGTATCTTCACCTGCAGAAGCTCTGGTATTTCCAGTGCGGCACGGCGTGCAGTCAGGTGACTCTCTCTTTGTATGTCTTAGTTTCGGATTAGGATCGGTAACGGAACAACGGGGTGAGATATTGCGTTTCTTTTCCGAAAACGTTGCGTTGTCATCGTGGAGACGTTGAGCCAGTGTCGCGTAGACGCCGAGCCAGTGTCGCGTAGACGCCGAGCCAGTGTCGCGTAGACGCCGAGCCAGTGTCGCGTAGACGCTGAGCCAGTGTCGCGTAGACGCCGAGCCAGTGTCGCGTAGACGCCGAGCCAGTGTCGCGTAGACGCCGAGCCAGTGTCGCGTAGACGCCGAGCCAGTGTCGCGTAGACGCCGAGCCAGTGTCGCGTAGACGCTGAGCCAGTGTCGCGTAGACGCTGACTTAGTGTCGCGTCGAAAGACGCTAGTGTAGCGTCCCTCAACCTCTTTTTGAAAGTCAATTAACAACCACAGTGTAACATGTCTTTACCTGGATATGCTCTGGTAGTTCCAGTGAGTGACAGCATGTAATGAGGTTCCGGAGGGCGCGCCCACCTCGCCTTCGAAACCAGGCAGTAGAGGCATCACCACGAACACCCGGAACGTTTCCTGCTTGTTGTGCGCTGACATAATGCGGTTGAACAGCGCTTCGCCTATCTGGGGACAGATTTAGGGGTAAATAGATAAAGTTACAAATGTTAAGGGCACCTTGGATTACTTTAAAAGAGGACCAAGTCACTACTTTAATAGAGGACGACACAAAATGTTCCTCAAGAGACGCCACTCACTCAGCGAACGGATGCCGGCGCAAGTTTTCATGAAGGCACAAACTGCCAACTGTGAACTTTTGGGCTAAGCAGAAGAAAATTCATAGATGTCCGACACTGAACCATTCCAGTTATGACAATGTCATCAATATTTATTTATTAGTTCCGATAACTGCCACGTTAGACAACCTTAATACATTTAATTAAGAAATTTACAGGAGGGCGTTACTATCAATACTGGGTAAGTAGTTTTTGATTTTTTTTACTTAAAGTTTCATAATCGTTGGATTATATGAACAAATTTAACTAAAGTACGGCCAACGAGAAGCGATACTAAATGTAAACAAACCCAAAGTCATGGGTGAACCCGTCTGACTTTGACATATTTTGACGGTAGAACGAGACATTACGACAAATACACAAGATGGGAAGAGACAGATAAAATTGTCAACTCGACAGTCGTATCGACCTTTTGTATCGCTGCTAGTTGGCCGTACTTTAACAAGTATAATACTTGTAGAGGACACTTGTCATTGGGCTATCTCCATACCTGGTTCCTAACATTAGGGTTGGTTCTCGACAGTGTGATGAAGAACTGGTTTTCTATGTAGATGTAGTTCTGCGCGCTGGTGATGGTATTCACGTACGCCTCGTGGATGCTCTGTTCCACTGTATCCGGGTCTAAGAAACCGCAGGACCAGCTGGAAACGCTTCGAAGCACCTGTAGGAATAAAACTGAGTTAATACCTTTAGAAACTTTCAAGGCCAATGTGTAACCCTCTTAATTTGAAGCTGAATGTATCAAATTTCAATAAATAAATTATGCGTGTAAGTCACATGCAAATTAACATCTTTATCACCAGCCTCAGCCTTCTGTTGGACATAGGGTCTCCCCCAATGAGGGCTATCCTTCTTATATTAAACAGTTGGCACCACTGGCAATTGACATGTCCCTAATCCCTCCTACCGCTTCAGAGCTCACTAGTTGGCGCCACTGTGTTCGCCAGTAGGAAGTGACAGTGACATTAACGGCAATGTCACTGTCTGCCAACCAACTGAAAGCCTAAACTAAAAAGACTTGCAATTATAGCTGTTAGAATAGAACTCAATTAGATACCTACTACGGTTTTTAATGTAATACATGAGATGTGCTGCAATTAAAGTAAAACGTTATTTTTGAGTTGCTTACCTGGCATGTCATATTGTTGATATCTACGTTCAGCTTATGGTTCAGATCTTGAAGTGGTTTGATGTTTGTGTACGATTTTGGAAGTAAGTACGGGTAACTGATGTTTTGTCTGAAATGAAAAAAAAAGAAGATAAAAGTAACTTCAACCATTAATCATTTAATTACAATTAAACATGGTATGAAAAGATGTTAGGTACAGACACGGGACTATTCCCACCTCTCGTTCCCACCACTGCAACTCCTGTGTAGCCAGGATCTACAGCTTGACCGTCACAAAAACCCAACCAGTGAAGGTCAAGTTTGTCCCGGGGGAAAGTTAAACTGTCATTGGACCCGCAACGAAATTAATCAGAAGAACATAGGAGGAGTTCGAAATTAAGGTTCGACTTGCTTATAAGGTACAGACAGTGAGAACGATACGTTTAGCTAAAATTAGAATGCAAAAGTTAAATTAGAAACACCACAATATTAGCGATGATTCTAAAGAAGAACAAAACTACAGCAAGTCAAAGAACTCTTTTAACTTTCTGAGATTAAGATGAAGGTTTATGATTTTGAAACAAGAATGATATATTCACTCTATGGATACTTTCTAACCATTCCAATTAATTTTGAACTCTATATCAATGTGCATAAAGTTGTATTTACCTTGCTTTTTCGAGTTTTATGGCATTCCATCTTTGAATAAAGTGCCTCGCAACATCTCTCGCAGCCGCGCCTTGCACCATAACCCCGACGTCGTGCCAAGGCATTCTAGGCGTTGTGTTTCTGTCCACTAAGTCTGAAATTGGATAATATATTATTTACTAGCTTTCCGCCCGCGGCTTCGCCCGCGTGGAATTTTGTCTGTCACAGAAAAACTTTATCGCGCGCGTCCCTGTTTCAAAAACCGGGATCAAAACTATCCTATGTCCTTTCCCGGGACTCAAACTATCTCTATGCCAAATTTCATCAAAATCGGTTCAGTGGTTTAGGCGTGAAAGAGAGACAAACAGACAGAGTTACTTTCGCATTTATAATATTAGTATAGAAGTATAGATTAGTTTACGAATTTAGTCAAAGACATGCTTTCGTATAAGGCCAATGTAAATTATTTTGGCTTTATGTAGGTATGTATTTTTTGCAATACAGACAGAAGATATACCACAAAATCATACACAAATAGCCCAATCAAGAGGCTAAGTACCTTCTGATTGCCTTGCTAAACTACACTGCTAGGATATTCTTAAATTATTTAAATACTAAGGCTGGGTTGCACAATTTTATTTTAACTACTAGCGGACGCCCGCGACTTCGTACGCGTGGACCTCGTTTTACTCCATTAGGGGTGNTTTTCGGGTGAATGACATTTGATTTTAATATTTTAATGTTTATAAAATCGGGAAATAAGTGATTGAATTATTAGTTTACCTGTGAAATGTGATTCCTTGACTTTTATTCGTTCGATCAGAACGGTTTTTACACCATTTCACCACACAAGACATGACGTTATTTGTTTTATTTTTCGCCGCCTAAATGTGTCAACTATGTGAAGTTTGCACTCGAAGTGGTGTAACAGGGTGTGAATGTGTGCGTGCCGGCCTGTACGTACAGGCGAGCTGGTGTAACCTAATGTCACAGTATTTTGTTGATGAGACTCCGTCCGCCTTTTTTTATAGGNTCAGGCATTGAGGTATTTTGGACGAAAAGATGTTGCGTAGTTTTCCGAACGCTGCCCAGCCGAGTTGGATTCGACGATTGACCTCCTTCTCGAAATTGGACCTACCTAGCTGGATCGTTTGTCCGAGGTAGACATACCTACTTGTCGACAATCTCGAGAATTGAGCTCCCAACTGAAACTGGGTAGGGCGCAACATGGACATTCGACATAAGCTTCGTTTTGTCCATGTTCATCTTTAGGCCTACCTGTTGGGAAAATCGATTAAGGTCTTCGAGCATTGTGCCAAGATCTTCCAACGATTCTGCCATGACCACAATATCGTCGGCAAACCGATGTGTACACAGTACCACAGTGTACCGAACAGTATATGTACACCTCCACAATATCTAGAGACCATAGTGAGCATACACTTTAACTTTCAAGTCTCTTACTTTAAAAACCGAGGACTGTAATACAAACTTCTAACCCCCTTTTTAACTCCCATAAGGGTTGAATTTTGCAAAATTTCGTCTTAGTGACTACCTACGTTCTAAAAGGAGTACACCTCCTATATTAAATTATTATTTTAGTGTCCTTTGATCATCTACAAACAAATCACACCTCCTCTGAATAGTCACATGTCCAATTGTTGTACTACATATTTTGTTTTGTAACATTTTTGATATTTTCTAAAAACCGCAATAAACAAATTGGACATGTATGTGACAATTCAGAGGTATGATTTATTTATGGTGATCAAAGAACACTAAAAATATAATTTAACTGGAGTCCACTTTGATCATCTTGGTGATCAAAGATGATGTGGTGACTAAACATGTAAGCGCTTTGGGTTTTCTGTAAGCTTATTATGTTGCTCATTAAATAAATAAATAAATAAATAAAGCCAGGTGGAATAGACCATTAACCCCTGAGAACTCTTTTGAGACTTGTAGTTTCTGAGAGACTTCGTGATGAGTGAGTGAGTCACTTAGTCATTCAATGACCTTTCTTTCTACTAAAATTATACGTACCTATAGTAATTATCATTAAAATCAAATAAGTAAGTACCTACCAACCTAAGTAATTAAAATAAAGACCCTACCAAAAAATTAACAAATTACATACAGAAAATAAAAACGAAGTAGGTAATTCTTATCCTATTTAACTACAATCGCCCACGCGCCCATCCCATTTGTCCGCCGCTGAACCGTACCCTAATATTCATCTCGGTAGATGGCGGCACATAGTAAGAATTTGCAAGGAAGTTTGTAAAAAGTCACTAATTAACACTTTGATTTGCTCGTTTAAACACAGTGAATGATTCAAATAGGTACATACAGTGAATGGTTCAGTTACATAAAATATCTTTATTTATTAAATTTTCAATATTATTTACGAACAGCGCTATTCATAGTACATGTAATATTTAGTTACTAATTTACTAATGATGTCGATAGATGGCGTTTGACAGCTTTGCCTTCATGAATATTTACGTACCTCAAAAATTTTTGTCAGGCGCAAGAAGATTTTAACCAATGACGATAGATGGCGCTTTTCCACGTCTTATGAAAATCCCAAATATTTTACGGGATCCTATTTTTTTCCAAAACAAAATTTAGCCTATGCTACTCGTGAGTTATGTAGCTTTCGAATGGTGAAAGAATTTTTAAAATCGGTCCAGTAGTTTTTGAGCCTATCCATTACAACTAAACAAACAAACAAAGTTTTCCTCTTTATAATATTAGTGTAGATAACAAACGTCAAAAATCTGTCAAACTCCATAGAAAAAACACCGGTTATCGTTATTGTTATGATTAAAGTTAAGTGGCGCAACTCAGCCTAAATTCAACTTACCTACAAAAGGCAGATCTAAATTATTAAAGTCTTTAACGATAAAGTTAGTGTAGTCCTTTCCGATCCACAGTTTCGAGTTTCCTTCAACGTCCTCCAATGCCTCTTTAGTTTTTTCTGTGATCACCCTTCCCTCCACCACTTGAGCTAAAGGTGTCGGCTGACTGACCCCTCTACTAACTGCATTTGGCGTCAACCCTAACGCGTCAGTTAGTAATATTTGGTCGTTGGATAAAGCGTACTTTTCGGCCTTTTTTCGTTCAGAATCATCAAATTTCTGCTCGTTCCTTTCTTCTTCATACGGAGGGTAGATTATACTGATGATGTCTTTGCCTCTGTCAGTGATTTTGTTGAGCACGTTCCGTTTTTGGACTTCAGGTGTTTCGAACTTGGATAGATCAGTTGTTTGGGTTTTGGCAGAGTTGATGAGGAGCTGGTCTCCAGGTTCTAGCACTGGTAGGTTGGCTGGAGCGCATTCGGATTGGGATTCCTCGCCTGTTGACCCGTTAGGTGTGTCTGCTGTAGTTTCTATGGGGGTCATGCTGTGGAAAAAATAGTTTTAAGTTAGAATCAAAATAGCCAACTGCCAATTCCAAGTTATCCAGCATCTAAGTAAGCCAAGCTTATTGGGAAGAAAAAGGCTTTGAGTGATCTAAGTATATGAAAAGTCAAATAATTTTGTTATTGAGGAAACGTCGAATTCTCTGACTTTTGATTTATTTTAACTCGCAAGGTTTACATTTAATAATAGTTTTCCTCATTTCTGCTCGTTCTTGGAAAACTGAGTTCTACTTCAGATTATAACTCTTGTATAGCCCTAGCTATGTACCAAGCTTAACTGCAAGGGAAGGCCAAATCTTACTCAGTTGGCCGTAGAAAAATTCACAAATTGACAAACATGTAACAACATTATCATAAATAAACCTAAAGAATAATAGCTTAACTTACTCATTCAACCCGATCACGATGTCTTTAGAGCTCTTGGCCAGTTCCAAAGCGGCCTCGATTCCGTTGGAGTAGGGCAGACAGATGCCACCGCCTGGAGAGCTAGAGGTCTTTTTCTTCATTCGTATAGCGTTTGCCGGCTGCGTTATGTTGCCGAGGTCTGTCAACCTGGAGGCAAGTGGGTATTGTTATTATTTATAGTGTTATATCTTGAAAATGGCTTAAGATAAGGCACTCATCGTTCATCAGGCAAGAAACCATGACTTTTCAGTCAAAATCAATCGACAGATAAAAATACACGATTACCTATGTTTATCATCGTCCTATTGACCGTAATAGATCGATGCCGATCTTCTCAACTTACCAGTCAGAATAAGAAGAAAAAGCTGGATGATAAAAGGGCTATTTACCTGTTTATCATCGCCTTAGTGGCTGTTTATCATCGCCTTAGTGGTTGTGGTTGGGCCTCATAAGAAGGCTCAAGGTCACCCAAAGGGCGATGGAGCGGGCTATGCTCGGAGTTTCCCTGCGTGATCGAATCAGAAATGAGGAGATCCGCAGGAGAACCAAAGTAACCGACATAGCTCGCAGAATTGCTAAAATCAAGTGGCAGTGGGCGGGGCACATAGCTCGTAGAGACGATGGCCGTTGGGGCAGGAAAGTTCTCGAGTGGCGACCACGGGCTGGAAGACGTAGCGTGGGCAGGCCTCCTACTAGGTGGACCGACGATCTGGTAAAGGTCGCGGGAAGAGCCTGGATGCGGGCAGCGCAGGACCGTTCATTGTGGACACCTTGGGGAAGGCCTTTGTCCAGCAGTGGACGTCATTTGGCTGAAAAAAGAAAAAGAAAAAGAAAGAAGAAGTGGTTGTGGTAGATATCGATAAGATTTTTTTAGAGCTGTGCAGTGTTGACGATGCGATGAAGGCGCTGACGAGACGATGACGTTTCAATGACGCTAGTGTTCTTCCTCACTAGCATTAGCGGCCTTACCGATGAAAAAAAGGAGAAGATACAAGAAGAAAATATCAGCAGCAGCGATCGATGCCACCTACAAAATATGAGAGAGAGAGAGTGAGGGAGAGAGAGAGAGAGAGAGAGAGAGAGAGAGAGGGAGAGAGAGAGAGAGAGAGAGAGAGAGGGAGAGAGGGAGAGAGAGAGTGAGGGAGAGAGAGAGAGCGAGGGAGAGAGACGCCCACGAACGCGACGCTCTGGTCCACGCAGACAATCTTCTATACTTATGAATAAAGATAAGAAAAAAAATAAAGATAAGGAGAAAAGATAAGAACAAAATACTTCTTTATAGCCTGACCAGGAACATAAAAACCCTGGCATAGAGGCGCTTCAATTGCATTTGATAGTGCAACACTGAGTACAGTCGTACATGTGTTAAATTAATAGGCTAAATTTATGTATCAGGATTCAGGATTACGGGCTAATTTGATATTTTCATAAATTAACGAAAAATATTATTAAAGGTAACCTGGTTTAAATAAATTAAATGAAACCATCAATCGAGCTAGTAGGATTTATTTTATTATTCATCAATAATCAAATTCAGAACTTGAATATTCAACTGCAATGTCTGCTCATGAACGCTTCAAACTCGGTACTTCTTTCCCAATTCCATAAAATTCAAAACTTAGAAAGTGACAAAAAACTTTAAAATAGGTAGTTGAAACAGACTACAGCTAATTTTCATAGTGGACTGTACTATACGATAAACATGTCAGTCAATTTGACAACCTTTGTCGGAAACATTATTCAATGAAAATATTGTCCGAACCCTTAGTATTTCTCTTCGACAAATACATTAACACATAGTGAACCACTTTTCTTTCACGATTATAAAAATATTTTAGCAATTTAATTCACAAAATCAATTGCAAACATTTAAAATAAAGTTTGTTTACACTTTGACAAAAATAGACTGACATGCAAGGTGACATGTAAATGAAGTTTTCAGTTACTGTTGCCATTAAAAGAAATTAGTACCATTAGTTTTCCGCAACATGGCGAGGGTTTTTATGTTCCTGGTCAGGCTATACCTGTGTTTATCATCATTCCAGCGACCGTAGCAGAGATCGGTGCTACCCACAAATGCCACGCTCTAGTCGACGCAGAATCTAGCTATCTTCTCGCGGTGAGCCCAGAAGAACGCCAATAAATTTTTTTTTCCCCTTTTTATATCTGCAATCGACTTAGGTCATAATCAGATGTTTTGTCTTGCTTTTTTGTTTGTGTTCATGAGGAGGGGTATTCCAGTAAATTCTCTCCCTCGGTTTTTACTAATCCACGTAGCAATCTAGTCCAGCCTTCCAATATTCAGTCCAAGCCACTAGCATCTTTGGTCCAACTGTAATATTTGCCATCTTGTGGCAAACTGCCACCATCAGTCTTGTGGATTTGTTCCACTATTTCTCTAGCGAGTTGGTTTGTGTGATGTTTCAGCCTTTCCTTATATTTGGTACAGTATATGGCGTTTTTTTTTTTTAAAAAACGCCAATAAATGGGGATAAGGAAACGACAGTAAGAAAATATATCTATACCTGTGTTTATCATCATCCCAGCGACCGTAGCAGAGATCGATGTCGCCCACGAACGCGACGCTCTGGTCCACGCAGACAATCTTCTATACTTATGAATAAAGATAAGAAAAAAATAAAGATAAGGAGAAAAAGAAGAAAATACTTCTTTACCTGTGTTAATCATCATCCCAGCGACCGTAGCAGAGATCGATGCCGCCCACAAACTCCACGCAGACGATCTTCTATACTTATCAATAAAGATAAGGAGAAAAAGATAAGAAGAAAATACTTCTTTACCTGTGTTTATCATCATCCCAGCGACCGTAGCAGAGGTCGATGCCGCCCACGAACGCGACGCTCTGGTCCACGCAGACAATCTTCTCGTGGTGAGCCCAGAAGAACGCCAATAAATGGGAAAAAGGAAAAGATAACAAGAAAATATTATTTTACCTGTGTTTATCATCATCCCAGCGACCGTAGCAGAGGTCGATGCCGCCGACGAACGCGACGCTCTGGTCCACGCAGACAATCTTCTCATGATGAGCCCAGAAGAACACGCCCGCCTTCGCGTGGTCTGGATGACGGAAAACCTACGTTATAATTCTTTGTATTACAATTTTGGAATTGGCCGACTAATTTTGATAATAACAGATTAATAATATGTAAGTCCGGTCGCCGAGCACAGAATTTTGTCCAATGACCCCGAGCTACCCAACCCATCCTTATCGCTCCTTCTCCTTATATTATTGCTGTCGCGACTGTGCGAGCGGATTTTACATAGAGAAAGTTTTTTTAGCGAAGGTACAGGGTGGCCCAGAAGAAAATTCAAGGAAACGAAAACTAAATTTTTGTAGAACTTTAACTATTGCAATTTAAAGGAAATTTAGTGCAGTTTACACTAAAATAAGTTATGATTACAATCCAGTTTGAAATATGTAAATTATATTTCTAGCTCTCAACTCAGTCAGTGCCTGAGGTATGGAAGCGGCACGGGAGGGTAATTTTGTGACGGTCAAATCTCAGCGACACTTCAGATTTGCATGCCCTGTCACATTATAATATGTCAATGAGGGCTATCGTTTTAGCGCTCACCAGTTAGCGCCACTGTAGAGTAAGGTCCTGTCACTTGCTAGTAGCGTAGACAGTGGCGCCAACTTGTGAGCGCTAAAGTGGTAGGAGGACTATCGTATTTGCATTCATCAAGATGGCGCCACTGTAGAGTAAGGTCCTGTCAATCGCCAGAGGTGCCAACTGTTAAGTATAAAAACGATAGCCCTCATTAGGGATGTTATGGATATGTAGTTTCGGTTATGGATGTGTAGTTTCGGTTATGGATACGGTTACGGATATAGGAATATTTTTATACCGGTTTCGGTATAAAAATATTCTTATATTTTTTTATTTCGGATATCCGAAAGTTTCGGTTACGGTTACGGATATCTGTGCTTTAGGATGCAATCTGAAATAGTTGTCCAACACGGTACATTAGTGGCCGCAAACTTTACATCGAATAAAAAGTAATAAAAAATAAAAATGTATGATAGATGGCATTATAAAGGTAAATCAGGCTGTTATGCCTTTACATATAATGCTATACAAAAACAATTTTTAAAATGCCTACACCCGAAACTATCCGAAACTTTTTAATCGGTTACGGTTTCGGATATTTTTTTATTTCGGATATCCGAAAGTTTCGGTTACGGTTACCATATCGGATATCCATAACATCCCTGATCACAATATTACCCCTCCCGTAGCTCTCCCCTCAGGCATTGAATGAGTTAAGCCCTATAGTATTTTACCTTGATGTTCTCCCCGACCAGGCGACTTTTGCTGTAGAAGCTGTTGATACCAAGTGCCATCTCTACTTCCTTGTAGAGCATAATAAATACTTTGATTCCTTGAGCCTAAAATATAGAAGAATACGTCAGATTATCAAGGTAGAGGCTGGTGCGCTACTAGATACACATCCTATCCTATTTCGCTGATATAATATCTGGATGACCGAGTTTCAGTTCAGAGCTGAGGCAGACACTAACTTTTCAATTTTTAATTATTTTAATTTTTAGTGTCTGTTTTTTTTATTGATTGTTTTTTTACCTAACGAATTCTATACCGAGGGATTTTTTTTATTTAACATTCCGCCATTTCGTTAATTGTTTTTTCCTAACAAAATAAAATAAAAATAAAATATCGTGTCCCTGACTTGACTCGTGATCGTGGCGCCGACGCCGGATGGACTAGGTCCAAATAAAACTCCCGGGCAATGTTAATGTAACCTGATGGTCCCATCAGAATAGCTCGCACAGTCTTACACTACGCACAGCTCGCTAGCTTTTAGAATCCAACGGGCCCCTTCCCCGCCCGTTGATGTGGGGATCGACCACTATATTGTATCCCCTCCAGAAGTTATTTGTGATAAAGCCTGGTCCATGAGCACGTAGAAATTTGTCCAATGACCCAAAGCTACCCATCCTTATCGCTCGCGCGTAATTATGTTGCTATAGCGCTCGCACACTCACTGCGGGCGCCCGTCGCACAGTCGCGACAGCAATATAATTACGCGCGAGCGATAAGGATGGGTAGCTAGGGGTCATTGGACAAAATTCTACGTGCTCACGGACCGTGCTTTAGTAGAAAGCAGCTTTAAACTGCTATGCGACAATGTGTGTTGAAGCAGAAATTTAATGTGCGGTTGAGGAAGCCAGTTTCTTTCTTACATGGGTAGATTGACTTTTAGATTCTCAAAGAATTTATAAGGATGTATCTTTCAGAGAACAGTAGATGTTCTCTGAAAGATACATCAGTTCAGTGAGAAGGGATCAAATCCAGCAGATTTTTCTCAGAGATATCTATCATACAAAGGAAGGTGTAGCTACAGCTGATTTTATTCAATCTGTCAGCAGAAAAAAAATGGTAAATAAAGACAAGAAAGGACGCTCCTCATTGGAATATAAGACAAATGAATGAGTATGTTTCAAGTTAGATAAGAGAAATAATGTTTTCGACCGCTCTAATAATAAGCTTAAAAATGTGATATGAAGTCACAGACTACAATTTCCAACCCTACTATACAAACAGGTCACTATTTTTTTTAACTCTATTTTGTAGGGAGTTTCAAACTACTACTACTACTAAGTACTCACGATTCAAACGATGTTATATGCATACCTCCGTTATTATTTTGATAGCCGTAACAAGAAAATAATATAACAATATGAAATAATTAATTTTAGAAAGTAGGTAGTACCTAGTCCTTAAGAAAATAAATAACACAGTAAACCATTCATTGGATAGGACAAGTTTATACCAAAACTACTTACAGCCTTTCTCTTCAAAATGGTGTCCAGCCTCCAGTAGTTTCCATTGAGTGCTGGTCTCTTCATATAAATCTCAGGGCTGAGCCACCAGTCGGCTATGAAGATTTCTTCCTTGGCTGATTCCATGGCGTCTGCGACCGCTGACATGTAAGAGGAGCCATCAACGAAAGTAGCTACAGGTGTGGCTCGCCTGGCTGGCGCGAAGGAATGGTGGACATTTGGGGCGGTGAAGTCTCGGGCTATAAGGAAATTAAGTTTTAATTAGTATAGAAAAAGTATAGGAAGTGCTTATTTGGCAATATTATTTGTAGTGTCCCATCATCATCATCAGATGTAGAAGTTTATAACTAGCGAGCGGCCATCTTGTCGCGCGCCGAGCACAAGATGCCGGCGACAAGATGGCGGTCCTCCTACCGCGGTGGGCCCGCGCGTTGCGGCGTTAATGAAAGAAGCTGAAGTTAAACTACAGATCGTTTAGTTTCCACTGGAGGATCATGCTCCAATGTACCCGAAGCAAATGGAGGATTTGGCGTACACTCCCTACACTGGTCACACGGCTTTGTAGTAGCAATAATTATTATATGTATAGCCTGACCAGGAACATAAAAACCCTGGCACAGAGGCGCTTCAATTGCATTTGATAGTGCAACACTGAGTATAGTCGTACATGTGTTAAATTATTTAATAGGCTAAATTTATGTATCAGGATTCAGGATTACGGGCTAATTTGATATTTTCATAAATTAACGAAAAATATTATTAAAGATAACCTGGTTTAAATAAATTAAATGAAACCATCAATCGAGCTAGTAGGATTTATTTTATTATTCATCAATAATCAAATTCAGAACATGAATATTCAACTGCAATGTCTGCTCATGAACGCTTCAAACTCGGTACTTCTTTCCCAATTCCATAAAATTCAAAACTTAGAAAGTGACAAAAAACTTTAAAATAGGTAGTTGAAACAGACTACAGCTAATTTTCATAGTGGACTGTACCATACGATAAACATGTCAGTCAATTTGACAACCTTTGTCGGAAACATTATTCAATGAAAATATTGTCCGAACCCTTAGTATTTCTCTTCGACAAATACATTAACACATCGTGAACCACTTTTCTTTCACGACTATAAAAATATTTTAGCAATTTAATTCACGAAATCAATTGCACACATTTAAAATAAAGTTTGTTTACACTTTGACAACAATAGACTGACATGCATTTTTTTAATTAAATAAAAATGCAAGCATTATTATTTTTATATGATAAAACGAGATTTATATATAATAGAAACTAAAAATAAACTGTTCTATGTTAAGTTGATTGATTATATTTCCATAAAAGACAATACATAACTAAACGATGCTGCGTGTAATGGATAAAAGACGTAAAGTTATCATTTGTGTAAATGAAAACATACTTTTTTTGGTAAATGTTGCCATTATGTAAACATTTGAGAGCTGCTTAGCTGATCACGGCTTCAAATCCGTTGAGTAGCGTTTGAGAATACCATTTAAAATTGAAGGATACTTAAAAGGAGCCCGTCAGCTGAGTGACAGATTTGAGTAGTGTTTCAGTATTCGGCCGTCAAAATGTCTAATTTGAAAGAGCTCTTATTTTGATCCCCTCTCTATTAAGCGTCCTCGAAGACTATAGATTTTTTGTCAGCCTTTAGCTTAATCAGTACGAACAAGTATGGAAGTACGCACTACATCGATTTGGTATCGGCCGATTCTTCATACAAATTAGCAGCCGAACAAACTATAGGCCGATAAAAATTCTGTAGTGTGCAGAGACTCTTATAATATGACGAGTCTTAAGTGAAAGAATTCCCTCTCATAAATTAAAACATAACGAGATAATTTATTAGAGATAGCTTATCGAAATGGGTTATGTAAACAATAAATAAAAGAATGTTTCGTTCATGAATAATGTATTCAATTAATACATTAACGATGAGCAGTTAATCGTTTGTTAAAAAATACAAATATGAACAATGAACACTTTTTGACGGACACGTTAACACGGAAAACAACAAATGTTACGTTTTAACACTTTTGTTAATGATGCGCCTTTTTCTGAGTACTCACTGTCCTTCGGCTGCATGAAATAAAATAACTCTATGAGTAAACTGTAAGGTAAATCACATCATTGCGTTTTATGTAAGAATCTATTTATTTGGAGTATATTTGAGTAAAGTATCACTAAGCAATCAAATAATTTGGACGCAATACTGATGAATGTCTGTTGAAATGCACTGGACCTAGCCACCAATAATAATTCGAATTAGTGAAGGTTGATTTTTTGTCCTAGTAGACTGCTAGCTTTATTGGAATGAACGACGATTTTTATTGGAAAAATTTAGGAGTTTACTTTTGCACTACGTCAGGTTCTAATCCGTGAAATATGGTACGGAGTAGCCATAGAACCATTTGTATGGCAGTTTACTTTTAACTTGATTCGATTTCCATCATCTGATTTCTCTAGTTAGTTTTCTAAAGTCCGGTCGCCAAGCAGATATAATTTCGTACAACGACCTCAAGCTACCCATCTTTATCGCTCGCGCGTAATTATATTGCTGTCGCGACTATGCGACGGGCGGCCGCAGTGAGTGTGCGAGCGCGGCAGCAATGCAATGGATGGGTAGCTTGGGGTCATTGTACGAAATTCTATCTGCTCGGCGACTGGACTTTAGATCCGTATTTTGACGGATTCGGATCAAAAGTTGTACAAAACCACTCCTGAGATACAAGGATACAACAACGGACAAACGTAACTAACTGTGCTGAGTTATAGAGTGGACTTACCCCTGATCAAAGAGCATGACTCCTTTGATAATGCCATCCCGAGGCCTGATGTAGCCGAAGAAAGTGTCCTTGACGAATAGCCACCGTTCTTGCCACTTCGCGCAAACTAGGCCAGTGCAGAAGTAGTTGCATCTGTGTACGATAAAGTAAATTAATAGCTGTTCAGTTGACTTTCTCAATGGATCACAAAAAAATTGGGTATAACCAGACAGTCTTTTAGCTTATGGCAAGCTGTGTCCAAAAAGATTTTACAAAAATGGGACCGAGCTTCTTTAGATTTAAATCATTATAGACACAAATAGATTGAGCAGACACCGTTTTGGCACATAGCTACTTTGTCTTAAGTTTTAATTATTATACCATCCGCAACAGTGTTAACTATCCATTGTCTGTCATGTCGTCTCGTTCTATCGCAAAGACTAGCCATTTGATGAGAGCGAGAGCAAAAACGGAAACGGATAGTTAACAGTGTAGCCGTGTGTACAGCCGATAGCACATCAGATTAATGCATTCAAAATCAAACTCAAAATATTTATTCATGCCTACTTAGCCCTTTTTAGGGCACTTGTACACGTCCCTTTGCAATATCTCACCTAATTATAAATACATACTCGTATCGTATCTATACATATTGTATTTATATCATCCGTAACTTGTTAAGTATGTGAATGACGTCCTAATCACATAGGCTATGACATCACAAAGAATAATTATTTTATCGATTAATCCTAAACCTAAATCTGATAACCTACCTCTAATACGAATAGAATAGACTGCTACTTAAGTCGGTAAAATACTGTAATCAAAAAGCAATAGTAGCACAACCTTTTAGTGATTGGATGAATCATACCAAACCACTCAATGATAACGATTGAAGATTTTTATATATGGGTATGAGTCAACCAGTCTGTCTCTGTACAACATTGTTTTACCTGTATATAGCAGTGGAATGATATAAACGGTCGTCTCGTGGACGGGAAATGTATCATTACGGTTACGAGGACTCAAGGAGTAGCTAATTTTATCTTCCGCATCTGGGCTTTGATAACGACAATGTACAAACATGTATGTATATTTAGCATCTTGTAATGTGACATGCAATAAACTTTTTGAATTTGTATGTTTATGTTTATTTAGAAAAGTAGATTTAAGAGTTTGTTTAAGAGAAACTTGGATTAGTTGGTTACTAAGGCTGAGTACTGATAACCGGTGCATTTTGTATGGAATTTGACAGATTATTGACGTTTGTCAAAGTCAAAGTAAGATGGTGCAACCCAGCCTAAATGTCTTTGTCTAGACAGTGGATTAAACAATGAAACGAAGGACAAACAATCTATTAGATAAATTTAGATACTCTGTTTACTTGTTATGAGCTGTCAAAACGCGCATCCGTAGATTGTGTAATGGCAATACAAATTTGTGACGTCACAATGTAATTAACTAATTAGGGTTTTAGACAAAACTCTATAGTGAAACAGAGTTTCGACAGGTCATAAAAAGTAAATAGACTGCACTGGTGTCCAATCCCTGATAGGGTTTTTACCACTACCAATCAATGAGGGTTTTCGCGATTGAAAAATCCGCCAGATGACATTGACAGATATGTCAAAATCCACCAATCACGCAGCATTTGGACCTCGCGTCTACGTATTGCCATCTGGCGCATTTCACAATCGCGAAAACCCTCATTGACGTACTTTTTAAAACTGTCAAAACGAGATTCTCCCATAGATTTTGTATGGCAATACTAGCCAGTGACGTCACTATTTTGCCAACTCAATTAAACTTAAAAAATAAATTACAATGCAACCACAAATCTTAATTTACAGGTAATTTAAAATTAATTAAGTTTTTAAGACCAGAATGAAGTGTCTTTTTGAAAAAGTTGTGCTTTAGAATTATTGGGGAGTAATGGCAAAATTAAATATCCAATTGAATGAAGTTCTGTAAAGTTGGTGCTTACCTGACGCAGACAGTGTTCCCCAGCATACCGAAGCAGTTACAACCAGCTTGGCCGGGTTGAGTGGAGCCGGTTCGCTTCTCAATCATGCCCTCCTTCCCTTTGTCGCCTAGCTCGCTGATGAAAGACAGGTTGGATACTTCCAGGAACTTTACCTGGTTGGAATAAAGACGAAGTTGCAATGATTTTAGTTTGGACTGGCGGATATATTGGCGTAATTTGAACTTTATTTCCTTATAATAAAGTCGAAAAGCAATGGATTTTTTTATATGTTCTGCACTATAAGGGTTACAAGATTCTCTTTATGTAAAGAAAAAAATCTGGCAGTTAAAATTGACCTTAAATCTATTCAGGTTAAGCCTAGAGTAGGCTTTCAAGGACCAACGGATTTCAAGCAAGACCCTCTAATGTACTAGAGCAGGGTTTCCCAAACTATGGGTCGCGACCCACCACTGGGTCTCGCGACTCGCGAGCGAACATTGAGTGAGCCCTGCCTGTAGAACGACACACCACCCTACCGATCCAACCGATGGTCAGCGGGCAAAATTTCCTATAGGTGGGTCCCGAGTCGGGGAACGTGTATTAGATGAGTCGTAGCCCAGACAACTTTGGGAACCACTGTACTAGAGGCAAATTGAAGGTTTGGCATACACTTCCGACATTGGGCAGAGTCACAAGGGTTCAGGAGGCGTGATACTCGTATATTAGTCCTTTATACCCCTTTGCGATTTCCACTGGAAAAGTGGGGGTAATCTTAATCTGCTGTCCCATAACCACACGGCAAGTTAGATTAGTTTAATATCGAATGTAATTAAAAATAAATTACTATAAGTAGCATAAAAATTGATAAGGTAATAAAGAGCATTGGTGCAGCCACCAATATTTTACATTTTATATTATTTCTCCTAGGTAACACATAACTTGAAGGTGTTTTATTGTTTTTTGTTATATTCATATTTGAACGGAAATCCGTGCAATGACGTCATTGATAAACATACAAAAAACCTTTACATTCAAACACTTGTTTTATTACGGGATCTGCGTTTTATTACAGCGATAAAAATATAGATATAGCGATTAGGGTATTAGCTATACAATACTGAAACTTACCGTTTCGTGGTGATTTCGATAAATTGATATGTTTAGCAAGTTGAACATGTATTCTTCAAGTTGCTTCATCCGCAGCTGGAGCCCCTCGTATGTGATCATTACTTCAGGTTTCTTTGGAAACCTGTGAAATATAAATAAAATTATTATACTGACAAACAATGAGAAATGATTTTCAACCTTATGTCAATAACATAGAGTTCGAAATCTCATGGACTGTTCAAAATAGATTCCTAACTTTTCTAGGCAACTGGGAAAACAAAGATAAATGATTTTAAATCGTTCATCAAAGATTATAGAGTTCAAAATCCTGTTAACTATGCTTCTTAATCGGGCACTCTTGTCGTGGTCGAGGTTGCACTGACGAGGTACAGGTGGGGTCATCTTCGAGGGTAAAGCTCACGTGTAATTAATTATATTGCTGTCGCGACTGTGCGACTGGCACCCGCAGTGAGTGTGCGAGCGCGATAGCAACATAATTACGCGCGAGCGATAAGGATGGGTAGCTTGGGGTCATTGGACAAAATTCTAAGTGCTCACGGACCGGGCTTTATACAAGATACATTTCTCACTAACCTGGGCAAAGCACCTTTCCTCTTCCTAGGTCTGCCGTCCCTTTTCTTCGAGTTACTCCTAGGCAGTGCCTGCAGCGCCATCTTCTCAGCTTTCTCCTCAGTACTGACTGTGTTTTTGAAGCTAGCTCGTCTGGATTTATGAGTTTTGGTTGGGAAAGGTATGTTGAGGGACGTTCTGTATAAGGCCAGCTGCTGATGCAGGTATAATATGTGTTTATAACGCTTCTTGATCGTCCAGGTGAAGTCACCATGTTGCAAATGTATGGTGTATCTGGAAATAGAGTGGCTTTTCAATAAATATGAATATGGATACGTTACTGGTATCATTTAACTAATTTTATATTTTTTTTTATATACTAAAGGTGAGAAAATAATTATTAGCTTTAAAAGCATAATAATTAAGTATTTTATTTTAGAATAATTAGGCAAGTAGTCAGGAAAATTTTTCTGAGCTTAATAATTTGCAACCATTTAATGTCATTGATGTAAACATGCATTAGTAATTTCAATGTATTATTGAATGTTATCCTTAAACTGTATTTAACAAGAATGTAATAATTTTAAAACAATGTGTGACTGATAGTCGTGACTATTATTTATGTTACAATAAAATAATTAGTACTTAAATAAAACATAATATGTACATTTTCTGTCTTCTTTAATACCATGATAGTGTGTAGTAATGTCAATATACTAAACAATTACCTACGTATTACGTACGAAGCGTAAAAAATAAAATAATACTCACAGGTTAGGATTAAGCAAGTGTGTGGTAACACTCCTTTCGTTTTCGACGAATTTGACCCGTATCTCCACACCGGGAATGAATACTTTTCTATGCACAGCATTGAATTTCATAGGTGTTTCGTGGATCTGCTTGAATGGGACGGAGGTTGCTATTTCTCCTGCAACAAAAAACATTATTAGAAATTAAACTAGGCTCTTAAAAGCATTAGAACGTACAGTGTAATCAATATACAGTGAAAGTATCATAACATCTAGGACAATTTGATCGTGGCTTCTTCCAAGCACTTCCAAATGACATAGAATGCAATGAAAACTTAAATATTTTTGTAGACCTTCGCTGATGTGTTCACTGACCATGGTGATAATTAATTAAGTAAACAATAGTACCTACTACACGGGTACAAGGTCGCATTAAAAAAGCTATCAAAATACAATGCAGGTAGTTGTTTTTTGGATTTTGATAGCCTCCATTCTATCTTGAAAAATTTTGTAATAGCTACAACTATTCCATAGTAGAATAACATGAACTGCCAGACATTGGACATGAAATGGACCCATTTCATTGAGAAAATTATTATCAAAAACATAAATTTATGTGGTGTAACACAATCAAAAATAGGATCTTATCTTACATTTTTCTGTAGCAGAGTATTCACATTGTTTGTTTTTGATGAATCACAATACTTATATTATTAAAAAACGATAACAAGTTTAATCTATAATGTGATAAAGTACCTAATAATTATCTAGTTAGATTCTGTAAAGTTCTATCTACTCTATACTATTGTGGTATAATGTATCATTGTATAAAAATTATGAAAGATACATGGATTGTAATATAATAGAGATAGCCTGGGGCTGCTTTTGTTTAGAAAACATATTAATACATAGTATACCTAAGTACCTACCTACTATTTTTTTTTAATAAATCTTAAACAACTTGTGTGATGTCACACCATTTACCAGTAAAAAGTTTTGAGTACAAGTGTTATTTAATGTAAGTAATTGTTAAAAAATATTACACTTACCATCATCGCCAGTTTCTTTATTATCCGTTTTATCCACATCTATGACGGAGAGTGAATCAGGCACCGCCAGACTCTCATCGAAGTCAGAGTCCATTCCTGGGGATAAGGAGTCCATACGCTGGAACAAGCCAGGTATGCAGTCTCCGGCCACTGTCGGTGTTGGAGTGTCCATCGCGTAGTTTGTGTATCCGTACAGTTGCTCATCTAAGACGTAAGGTTTCCATAAGAAAATTATAATTGTAATTATAACACTAAATGCTAAAATTGTTAATATTTCAACACAATATTAGGTAATATTATGTATTCGAATGATTTAGTTTTAAAACAAGTTTTGCTAGTTTACTGATACTTTTAAAATCATTACACAATAGCTAATTGATTTCATGTTTTTTTTAATAGAACGATGAAATGTACTATGAAGATGTTACCAATTTTATTTGCCACTTTTGATTGTAAAAGCAACCAGTTCTAATTACTGAAAACATTATTTATTATAATCGAACTAAATTCAGTAAAGTTGGGAAAGTCTTGTTTTGCTACAACACTGATTATTGCAAGGAAGAGTGATGCAAGTAACCGACACAACACATTTATATAACACGAATTATCACTAGTAAAACACAAATAACCATCGCTATGTACCTCGTTTGATTAAATTATGAAAACTCAATGTTAATTCTTTTCGTTCCATTAGTTACTGTCTAGACATGTCCGGCTGACACTCTCAGTAATGCTTTTTCCATTATATGGTACAAATTTAACACTTGTGCACATAATCTATTGTGATAAGATATCAGTGTTATCACTAGTAAATGGTTCAGTTATTTTTTAGCACTTGTCAAAAATAGACGATTCACATCACCATCACAGTTGTGTTTAAAATGAGTGAATCGGATTTACATTCGCCGCGATTGTATTTTGTTTCAATTTAAGAAAGAACGCACACACAATTCGTACAAAACAATTGACAACCGTCTTTAGAATCACGAGATTGCGATATCTTCAAGTTAGCCGTTTCAGTGCATGGTTCAATGAACAAGGCTGTATTTCAAGGTTTTTTATTACCATCGGCGGATTACTGAGTAATGAAATCTTTACTTACTAGTTTTCGTAACTTAGATCGAGGCTTTCTCGAAGCGTACACGCAGATGTCAGTTGAGTTTTTTTTTAATTATCGCAAGAAGCAACTTCTTCCAAGCATTTAGAGGCCTCCAGCTACTTGTTCCTGTTTGATTCATACAAATTACAATGCTCTAATGGTTACTCAAGGTTTTTTAGGCGTTTGCCTCGATGACCGATGTAAAACCATGATTGATTAAAAAAAAAGTGACGTACGGTATTAATCAGTCAGGCCTTGAAAACATTTTCAAACAAAACTTCACACATGATTTTTGAACTGTACACAAATTATTAGCTGTTATTAGTCTATTTTATACCAATTGCCATTACTACTTGTAATGTAATAGGTATTTAAAAAACTCAAAAAAATATTTTATTCAACATACAAAAAAGTTGATATTTAAATTTAAAGAAAAACTGTTTTTTACATCTGCATACAATTTAAACAAACGTCAACAAAGTCAGATGCATTTTGGCATATTGCATAACGTTCAGAAATGTGAAGTTGTAAAAGTCAACCACGAATATTATTATAACTGTGATTTAAAATGATTTAAAATGATTGGACTTTAATCCAATCATTTTAAACAAAAAAAAATGTTACAATAAAATACCGTAAAATTACCCATGAGGACAATTTTGCAAAATAAAATCGCCTTGTAATATTTTGCCTGCAAAGTTTTTCCGGGAAATAAAATGCACTCTGTCTATGATCAGGCGTTAATATAATTTTACATACCTTTCAAAAAGGTAGCAAATTGCATTGTATACTTGTGTTGTCAGGTAAGATGCTGGGAGTCGTCGAGTGCAGGAAGAAGACAGTCCGTAAAAGTTGGAAGTCGAAAAAATCTCTATTTTGGGTACAGGCTTTTATCATCCCTCTAATACAATCTGTCTGTCAGTCTGCCTACTCGTTGTACCTAGTGTACCTAAAGCTAACGACAACTAAAAAGGGACTTACCATGAAATCCTCATCGTGTCCACCAGTCTTCTCATCACCTCAGGAACTTCTTCAACTTATCTCTTCTTATTTCTTCATACCGTCGACAGTGTTGCGTTTCGTTCGTTCGTTTCAGCCGAAAGACGTCCACTGCTAGATAAAGGTCTCCCCCAAGGTTTTCCACAAAGACCGGTCCTTCGCCGCCCGCATCCAGGCACCTTCTGCAACATTCTCCAGATCGTCGGTCCACCTAGTGGGAGGCCTATCCACACTTCGTCCTCCGGCTCGTGGTCGCCACTCAAGAATGCGAATTTTCTGAAAACATCTTGTTATAATTAGCAAAAGTTTTGCGTGTAGATAATAAAATGGCGCTTAAAAATATCATACCTGGTGCTCCCTCACCGAAATCATTGTCTTTTCAGCAGTTGTCTTGAGCTCCCCAATAGGTAGGCCCATGGGCGTACCCAGCTTCTGGCATAGGGGGGGCAAGTCAATTTTTTTAGGTCAGATAGTTTGACTTAGTTTTTTTAAAGCGACTTCCAGGGGGGGCAGCTGCACCCTCCTTGCCCCCCCCTGGGTACGCCCATAGGTAGGCCGCCCCCGTGCTCTCCAAGTCCCCAATAGGAAGGCCCCATAGAAGATCTGAAAGAAAAACCAAATAATTACCTTAAATTACCAATACCTAATTTAAAACTTAAAGAAAAAACCGCAATGTTTGTAAAAAACATTAGTACCTAATACCAAAACCGTTAGTATTTGTTTATAAAATGTATAAAACCGTAATGTATTTAATTTTTTTTTGTAAAAATAAATTTTGACTGACACCGTTTTTTATCGAAATTCAAAAATGAACCACAAATTAATCTTTATACGGATTTTACCCGTATAAAGTTAAAAAAAAAACTGTACTTACCTTCGTTACCTTTATCAAAACCATACCTAATTACCTAACCTGCATAAAGTTACCTTTATCAAAATCGTTACCTTTGTTATTGACTCATTATTTTACTTACCTAAATCATGAGTGTTACCTTCATCAAAACCATTTACCTTAGTTAATTAACGACCACATATTTTGCAAAAAAAAGAGAACTGTAAAATAACACCTATTAAAACTTCATAATGCAACCATCTTGGACGAATAAACGATAGATTGCCCAGTGTCATGTAGGACTTGAGTTCTTCCGTAGGTAAAGCACGACATAGGTATAAAAGTATGTTTTTTGAATAGTTATTAGATTTACGTAAATATAGTAAAGCGGTATTTTAAATCTAAGAAATCATAATATGGAAAACTTGTGAATTTACAAATTATAACAAAGCGACTGAAAGTTTTTGGATCTTTTCAATACCAATTTCATTTACGATACTAACCCAAGTAATCACTGAACTCACTTAACACACACTCACTAATCACTGAGGAATACACACTATTTCGCTCTTTGGAGTTCCTGATTATAAAATACCACCAAATATTATAAAATCAATAAACTCACTTATTTCACACACTCACTATTGAGGTACACTTAGGGCCTTATTTCAAACATGCGCGTTGAACACCTGTTTAAATTGACATAAGTATAGAAATGTAATTTTTAACCAATTTTGAACATGCGTTTAAGGTTTGTCATGGAGTCTTTCGTCAGAAAATCTTCAAAGGGAAAGGTTCATTCAACCAATTATTCTTTTTCTTTCAGATTCAAAGCCGAGTAGATAAACTTTAGTTTCGTTGTCTGTGACAATATTTTTTCAGTAAAATGTAGTCATTAATGTGGGTATTATGACCTGCATCTGTTCTGTTTTTCTAATATCGTAGTAGAGTCGTCCAGTCATCGGATAAATCAGGTGGCATCCAACGAGTCCAAAGTTTCTAATTCTTGAGTCGTACTCGTACATAGGTACACTTAGCTCATGCCAAAATATTATATTCTTTTTTCTGGTTCAATCAGTCGTGGTAAGGTACGAGTACCTATAGTATAAGTTTCAATAACATGTGTCGATTCTTCAGTCGGTTTTCACTTAAATCACATTCTTATTTGATTCACTGAACAATATACAGTACACGAGATAATCACTGTGAAAACTTTTCTTTTTAGCACTATTGCATATTAAAAAATCATTATCACCACACAGTTCACAACACCACGATGCCAGTGATGCCACAAAGTAAAAACAAATGATAATAATCACACAAACTAAACCTCATTCCGGAGAGATCACTTTTTATCATCACCTATGTGCACTTATGAAGCAATAAATAAATGATTATAATTATGATTAAATAAACAGTCGGAAACTTTTTCACGTTCAACAATTATTTGATTGACCGAGGGTCAAGCCCAAATCATTAAAGAAATCCACGCGAAGGTACAATAGGTACCTAACAGAAGTATCTAATTAGAAAAACATGCTTATGTAGGTATATGTCATGTTTGTATATATCGTTTTTCATTCAAATTAACTATATAAGAGTACATTCTTACACACCAGCATCGAGAGCCCTTCCAGTATCAATATCTATTTGGCGCTAGTTATGTACACGTAGCATCGAGAACTCACCCAGCATCAAGAGCCCATTTAGCATCAATATCTATTTGGCGCTGTTTACACGCAGCATCGAGAGCCCACCCAGCATCAATATCTATTTGGCGCTGTTTACACGCAGCATCGAGAGCCCATCCAGCTTCAATATCTATTTGGCGCCATTTACATCGAGAGCCCACCCCAGCGTCAATATCTATTTGGCGCTATTTACACGTAGCATCGAGAGCCCACCCAGCTTCAATATCTATTTGGCCCTTAGACACGCAGGAGCGAGAGCCCACCCAGCATCAATATCTATTTGGCGCTGTTTACACGCAGCATCGAGAGCCCACCCAGCATCAATATCTATTTGGCGCTGTTTACACGTAGCATCGAGAGCCCACCCAGCATCAATATCTATTTGGCGCCATTTACATCGATAGCCTACCCCAGCTTCAATATCTATTTGGCGCTAGTGGCACGCAGGATCGAGAGCCCATTCAGCATCAATATCTATTTGGCGCTGTTTACACGCAGCATCGAGAGCCTACCCAGCTTCAATATCTATTTGGCGCTAGTGACACGTAGGATCGAGAGCCCACCCAGCTTCAATATCTATTTGGCGCTGTTTACACGCAGCATCGAGAGCCCACCCAGCTTCAATATCTATTTGGCGCCATTTACATCGATAGCCTACCCAGCTTCAATATCTATTTGGCGCTAGTGACACGCAGGATCGAATTCAGAATTCATTCGAGAGCCTATCCAGCATCAATATCTATTTGGCGCTGTTTACACGCAGCATCGAGAGCCTACCCAGCTTCAATATCTATTTGGCGCTAGTAAACACGCAGGATCGGGAATATCAATATCTATTTGGCGCTAGTTACACGTAGCATCGAGGACCCACCCATCATCAATATCTATTTGGCGCTGTTTACACGCAGCATCCTTGCTAACATCATTTCTATCAGGTCCAGGGCAGCGGCACTGTCGTCTGAAATGCTCAAAGACGCAAATACTAATAATAAATATAAAATATTAAATAGATTTGTCTTAATTAACTTATTCTACATAATATTAATAATGAAATTAACTTATTCTACATATAATATTAATAACGAAATTAACTTATTCTACATAATATTAATAATGAAATTAACTTATTATACATATGTGCGTGCGCCCGCGCAACTTATTTCGATACACTGGGACACCAAAACGGTTGTGGTCGGCTGTGAAGAGAGACTGCAGAGATTTCATCCTTTTTATTTGTTCTTAATAATCTGCAATTTAAATAAAATAATGTCCTAATGGCTAAATTAACTTAAGTTTCTTATTAAAATAAACCTTAATTACTTAAAAAAAACTAATTTTCAAGCATTTATAAATTACTGATATTACTTACTTATTTCTTTGAGACACTAGACACTATAGAAATTATAATGTTCGAGGATCACCGGTGAGCTGCTAGGCGCCCAACGTGTTAACGCCGGCCGAATATTGCACTGCCTTTGGTAAGCACATCGCACTCATCAAGCTATAAGTCACTGTGCTATTGGAAGGACTCGCGGAAATGTACTTGCAGGTTATTATGAATAAATGACTGACCTTACGGTAGGACATCCTCACGTCACCGGGCAATCTATCGTTAAGGTATATACCTACCTATTCACTTATTTTATTTTTGTCTCCATTCCTCGTACCATTGAAAATATTCTCATAAATGTAAAGTATGCTGTAGTTTTTTATGTGGCCCGTTAATTATGTGATTTACCTGTCTGTTACCTTTATCAAACTTTACCTTTATCATGTTACCTTCATATAAACCTTTACCAAAATAAAAATAGGGCACGGTGTTTTAAAAGCTTCCGTCGTCAATTTGCGGCACGAAGCGCTGCAGCAGCTTCCAAAGTCATACCATAGGAACGGTAGAGTTGTTTACCCTTCAATGATAATAAATAAATTGTATTGTAACTATTACTTTTTTATCCCCAACGGGGAAGCTTTTGGCCTGTATCTCACTTCATGGTAAGTGATCATCAGGCCGAAGGTGGAAGCGAGCTTCACCCGGCATCCTCAACCACGGAGGAACTGGCTATCTCACCTCTAACTGCCGGAACACAACGATGCTGTTAACACTATTGTTATGGCGACAGACTTAGGTAAGATCGTGGTAGCTAGCCAGGCGGATTTAGAACAAGCCCTACCATCAACCAAACCGAACAGAAAAATCTGCCCCTATTGAAATCCGTAGTAACTTGTGACGTGTAAAGATGCTGTTCTATAAAGGGTTGCAGTTGCACATAAAGTCCTCTTATGAATAGCACCTCTATCTTTGCATAAACGTATGTGCAATGCAGATATTCCAACGTCATACTTACCCTAAAACACGAAGTGTGTCTTCCAATCTTGCAATGTTATGCTGTTTGACTTGAAGTATAGCTTGAAATAACCATCACTCAATCGTCACTTGTAACAGCTGATTGATTGTGTTGAATGACTGACACATCGATGTAATTTTTTTATTTAGTCCGTATCACGTAAAGCATGAAATTGTTGTACCGTGACGTAATAGCAATAAAACTAGCGGACTCTTAAGTTTTAGACACGGGATTAATCCCACCGCTCTACGCCGCAGCAATTGGGTGATTCTCCAGAAAGTCCTGCAAAAGATCACTTACCTTGTGTCACCACCAGCTTCTCCAGCACCTTCATATTATGAAACGACACGCATCATGTGATTTGATGATTTGATGTCCAAAAGATCACTTACCTTGTGTCACCACCAGCTTCTCCAGCCCCTTCATATTATGAAACGACACGCATCACGTGATTTGATGATTTGATGTCCAAAAGATCACTTACCTTGTGGCACCACCAGCTCCTCCAGCACCTTCATATTATGACAAGACGTGATTTGATGATTTGATGTCAGAGCACCTTCTGAGCCTCTTAGGCAGTCGATTTTTATGAGGTTGAAATTCTTTTTAAAATCCACACTTCGAATCTCCCATTCATTTTTTTTTAAATCTTATGATTATATGAATATCCTACTATTCCTACTTTTCTCGTAATATTATAATCCTACTTCCCGCTATCCTATCCTACTATCCTAC